GAGATGGAGGTTTAGATAGCAGTTTTTAAGTTATTTACGATTTTTAAGAAAAAAGGCCAAACGGCCGTTTTTCGATGGGTTTGGAAGATTTAAAGCTAGTACTTAGATATTATATGTATTTTTGTATGAAGAACAAGTTTATTTAGTAGCCGAACTAAGGTTGACTTAGTATAGAAAGAAGTTATAAGCTGTTTTTAATTAATTAGGTTGGAGAGGGTTTGTGTACGAGTGATAAACGGAGAGAGTTTTGTTTAATCACCTATTTATTATTAATCCAATTTATCAATTAGTTATATTATATATAAGAAAAATTAAAATAATTAAAGTTTTTAAAAATCATTGATAACTATAAATTTTTACTATGAACCTATTTTTAGTTTATTAGTTAAAAATATTTATTGACCAATTTTATATATAATTTGTCTATTTTAAATTTTAATTATAACATTAATTTATAAATATTTATGATTAATTTTATATTATTAATTTTTATTAGCTAATAATGAGCTATTAAAAAGTTAGTTGTAAGTTAATAGAATATTAATATTTTAACAATATTTTAACAATATTTTAACAATACTGTAAATATATTTATCAAAATATATAGGTTTCTGTAAAGTATCTAGTTTAATTCTTGAATAATACCTGGGTACTGTATGCTGTATCAATGGTATATTTTAAATATCTACTTTGTATATTTAAAATAGCTATTTTATACTATAGTATCACTCTTGATATAATGTACTCTTGGTATAATAGATCAAGATTTAGATTTACATCATAATAAATACTACTTAATATAATTGATTTACTAATTAATTTATTATAAAGAAAAACTATATTATAACGAGAGTGACATGTAGTTAAACTATTCAAATTGGCATGGTGAATTTCAAACTACTTTGAATTTAAGATGTGAATCTAGAGATCGGCAAATTCATGGTTACACAAAGAACTATATGTAAGTAATGGTTCTTTGTATAACAGCGAATTTGCCAATCCTTATATTCATACCAAGTATCTTGGATTCACCAAGCCAATTTGAATGATTTTACTACTATTAGAATCAAAAAAATCGTCTTTACAACTTTATTTAGAATGAGAAAAGATCTTTATTTAATAAAGTCTTTAATTTTTAGAAGATTCTTTTAATTTATATAATAATAATCATTTATTATCTAAAGTAGCTACTTCAATATATAAAGTAGCTACTTCAGATGGCGTTACTTTATATATACAAAGTAGCTACTTCAAATAGGTGGCTACTTTAGATGCAACAGCTGCATCTATTTTTTTATTATTATTTATAATTTTTATTTATTATTGTACAATTTATCAAAGGTAATATTATAATGTGCCATTAAAAAAAAAAAAAAACAAGAAAGATGGTTAGAGGTAAAAAAGTTTATATCAAGACTGACAAACTAACTAGTCATTTTCGACTATTAAAATTTCCTTTGCCGTAATAAAATACGTATTCGTATATAATTACTTACAAATTTCGTTACTAATGAATGATTAATTAATGAAATTCTGTTAGAAACAGCACGGAAATCGAAATTAAAATATGCTATTAGCGGTCAAGGACCAAAAAATCAAAGCAATCAAATTAAGGTACGTAGAAATGTATTACTTATAATATTTCGTTTATCGATTACTATAAATAAAAAGAGAAGAAAATAGAATAAAGTGCTCTTTTTTTTTTTTTTTTACTGACAACGAATTTTAAAGTTCCTTTTTCTAAAAAAAAAAAAAATTAAAATTATTAACTTCAACCTGTTAATATATAGAAAAAAGCTTTTAAAAATTTTTTGAAAAATTTTACAAATTGTCTTGTTCGCTATATAAAATGGTTGATATTTAGTATAGGTGAGAATATATAAGTATTATAAGATTATAACATATAAAAATAACTATTTGAACTAATTTAAACAAATTTATGAATAGTTAGAGTTAGGGTAAGGGCTATAGTTTAAATAATAGTTAAGTTAGAGTTAGGGTTAATGTTTTTTTATATTAAATAATCTTATAATATCTTTATATTCCCACCTATACTAAATAAGATCCTATAAAATTACTGTTTTTTTTTTTTTAAAAAAAAACCCCCATATACTGGACTAATATGGAATTCAAAAATTTTTAGTTCATTATATCTAGAATTTGGTATTAAAAGGTTCGGTATAAGGAGAGTTGACTGTAATATGTATAATCATTCATAACTGATTTTCTGGGTAATGCATAAATATGCTACCGTAAAACTTTTGGCTCATAATTATCTAAATTTGCACGCGATTTTTACATTCTTTCATATAATTATTTTCGCTCATTATTTTCCACATTTATATTTTAATTTTTGAAAGCTTATAAGTAAGTAAGATCGTTAATGAAGTAGCTTACTTCGGATCATTTCGGAGTGAGCCCAAACCAAATTGTAGTAGGTTTAAATTTTATGATTTAAAGTTGGAACAATGAGGAGCAACCAGATAAACTAAAGAGTAGCCTTAATTTAATGGAGTAGGTGAGATTGAATCAACCCAACTAAACCCAACCCAACTCACTAATAATTTTACTATAAATAATTTACATACAAAAAAATATATAGTTTCATTTAACTGAAACCTTTCTACGTAACTTAGTGAACTATAATTTCTGCAAATTTTTTTATTTACATATATCTATTTCAATGATAATAACATTACATACTTATGAGACATTTGTCAAATAAACATCATATCAATATTATGGATTAATCTTTCAAACTCCTTTTCCGCAGCAATTTTATAATATTCAAACGCCTTTTCTTCATCAACATTAGTTCCTCTTCCGAAATGGCAACAATTACCAGCCTCCTTGCAAGCATCAATATAACCACTATTTGCCAATTTTTGATATATTTCAAAGGCTTTTTTTTTATTTACTTTTGTTCCTATTCCTCTATGATAACATTGGGCAAGTAAATATTGTCCTTTAGGAAATTCTTTTTCAGCTGATTTCTGATAACATTCGAATGCTTTTAATCGATCAATTTTAGTTACTGTACCATTTTCATAAAGATGTCCAAGACCACAATATGCCTTAGCATATCCTCCATAAGCTGATAATTGAAATAATTCAAATGCTTTTTTTTCATCATTTTCAATACCCTCTCCACGTAAATATGAATACCCTAAATGATATTTTCCTATAGGAAATCCTCCTTCTGCAGCTTTCTGAAAACATTCTAATGCTTTTTTATAATTTATTTCGGTTGCTGCTCCAAATGTATAACAAATTCCAAGTGAATTATATGATAAAGTATATCCACCTTTGGCTGATTTCTCAAAATATTCAAATGCTTTTTGAAAATCTCTTTTAAACCATATTCCATATAAATAACAATCTGCAATAATGTGTTGAACTATGGGATTATCATGACAATTATTTAAGCACCAATTAATTACATTATTTGGTTTTTGTTGTTTCATTATAATAATTTTATTCATCATATCATAAATAGTTTTAGGGCGAGTTCCTTTCATGGATTCTTCATCTAATAATTTACTAATTTCTTCAACTATATTTTTGAGAATTGTCTGCGACATTTCTACAGTATATTGATTGAAGTTAATGGTAAATTTTATAGTAAAAAAGAATTATGAATTGGAAATACAACATTAAAGAAGTTGATTTTTTTAACAAAAGAAAAAAAAAAATTAAAGCGTCAAACATTCCTTTTAGTTATTGGATTTGTTTGTAATACAGTAACATAATTGTCATTATGGAAAACATATTCCATCAAGAAACGTGTAAACAATAAATTCGGATAACTCCGCCATTATTGTACCTGACTTATATCATAAGGATTTATAGATTTGTTTACCATATATATGTATAGATAATAATATCTTCCTACTATAAAAACGATAGCCGTTCATGATTGATTAATCTTGCATACATGTGCATGCTAACGTCAGACGTTGTTAATGTCGTTTGTTCAATTTTTGGAAGCGTTAACCAAATTTGACAACTATGATTAAATCTTATAAATACTGTACTATTTAATAACGATTCATTTTAAATATTAATACGTATCATTCATGGAATTTGTTTTCATATTCACAAAATAAGCCAATTAAGTTCACAAAAAAAGAAAGGCAGTTTATCTTTAAATTTTTTATTGTTTAAAGCGCAAACTTGTAAAACAGTTGATCCATATCCTATTTTTGTTATAAAGGCTGATCGCTACAATGTTGCCAAGCTGAAACAAGAAACACAAGAGAAGGCCAGAATAATACTCCAAAAATTGTGGTATGAATTTTTTATTGTGCAGTTCAATATTATAACAATTTAGATTGTTATTCCTTTATGTTCTAATATAAATTTACTTATATTGTAGAAAATATTTATTATAGAATGTACCTATGGTGATTTTGCACCTATTATATGGTTTATATAAAATTTTAGCACAAATTTTTTATGTGGGGGTTAGTATTTGATGCTAGAATTAAGGTTTAGGAAGGATT